CCTGAGACCACAGCGCCATCTTTCCGTGGCGCCACCTGAGACCACAGTCTCGATTCCAAAAGGATACCCTGACCTAAAGGATACCCTCCTCCCTCAGACTCGAATGAAATAAAACCTTATCCCACATCTTGACATGTCTACCAATCTGCAAAGTTTCGTAATTCATCCCTAATAACATCGTGCCCTGCCAATTCGCGAGTGTCCCTCACAAGAGGCGCGGATCTCTCGGGAAAACAATCACAATAATTGAACGAGTTTAATCGGCAATCGAGAATATTCGGCGACTAATCGTGCGGAAGTTTTAAGCTCCCGTGACATACCGATCGAAGGTTCACAATTAAACAGCAGATGATGGTTGATAATAGGGGAATGTTGAAGCTGGAACCGGATCTGGGCGGTTCCTGAGCGAGTCGCTGATTGCTGGCAGCCAGGGTCGCGGTTTCTGTCCTGTCCAACGCTCTGGCATCCTTGATATCCGGTAACGTGGACTGACAGGTTAGACTCAAAGTGCCCCCAGGGAAATGATATCGTTCCAAACGCAACGACAGACCCAGACGGCTCGCTGTCACGATGTTGTCTTCCGTGGACTCAACGGTTGGTAGCTCGTTGGTTAACTCTGCGTTCACCTGTGGATTCACACGCGAAAACGATGAGGACACCTCGAGCAGCACGTACGGATAGACATAGCACCGTATGGGATTGCGCATGTTTCTATAACAAGTGTCACGTGAGATTAAGAGTATAGTAGGATTAGAAGTAGGATTCAAACTTAACCGCGGCTTTGACAATTTCTATCGGTGATCTAAACGGGTCATACTCGTGAGTAGTCTAAAGTTTGATATAGTATGGCTTATCAAGTTAAATGAGACCTCTAATCCTCAGTCTTTACTATTTTCTCATTCATTACATCTTTGGTACAGTATTAGACGTCCACCGGGCTCTAGACGAATTATCTCATCCTCGCTCACACGTTTCCTCTGCCAAGCCACTAGCTTTACTCTAACTTGTCCAGCCATACGTTATCGTTGAGGTCTTACCTCCTTCCCGTTGAGGATGAAAGCGAGCATCGCCGCGGGATAGCTGGGCGCTGAGGCGCATTCCACGCGGAGGATTTCGCCAGCCTCGTAGGATGGTCGAAGTCCTTTGAGACTGGGTCGCTCGTTCGGCAAGATGGCGACGCTCATGTTTGCCGCCTCGTAGCTTGTCAGGAAGCTCGGTGCCTCCGAGGACACCTCGCAGCCGTAGGATCCCACGAGGTTCACCTTACCTGTCGCAGCCACCAAACGTAATATCTTTCTCCATTTTCCTACGTCCGCCCAACTGTCCATCGCGATTGATATTTAAAGTAGCACGGCGTACTCGCGCGGGAGGGGGGATTGGGGGGTGATAAATTCGATCAGGAACTTGCTAGTAACGACAGCGTCGCGACGTTTCCCCCCTGCCGACAGAGAGGTCTCTTCGAACCAGCTAAGTGATGGATGACCAGGGAATTGGTCGAGTTTTTCAAAGATTTTTTAATTGGTCATCAACGTAATGGAATTGGATGAACTGGGTCGGCAAGCGACGGCCAAGTTTCGAAGACATTTTTGAATTTCAAATCACGGCTGTCGCCCGCGGTCGAGGAGCGACAATGAATCCCATTAAAAATTACTCGGTTGATTAACGATTCCGCGAGCGATAGTCTGACAGCCTCAGGTGGACCTTGAACAATTATAGCTGAGGCCATTCTGTAGATGTGAACAATGTGATCCAGTGTTTTCGAAAGGAAGCACGGTGATTAATGGAAGCTCGTTCTAATCTTCGTGATCAGGACTCCGGTCCTCGTAGCAACGTACTTTAACGCATTAGTGAACTTGCGGTAGCTTTCCTCAGGCTTCTCTTTCGAGTCCATCGATGTAAAAGAGAAGAACGAGAACCACACCCGCTAAGAAATTTATCGCGTGGCTGTTCGATGAGTTAATGAACCTGTGAGAATCCATTTCAATCCGACCTAGACAGGGAACGCAATTGCAAAGTCTTCGCTCGCAGATTAGAAACCTAACGCGGGGAGAAATAGTGGCCCCGGCTTGAAGAAAAATGGCCGCGAATGGAAACTTGATGGACGCGAGTCTCGTTAGCGTCGCGAAAAGTTCGTCCATTATTTAAACACAGTTTAGCAACTCCATTAACTTTTATGACTAGCTCGGGCTTTTAAGTGCGGAATAATAATGTCGATTTTAGTTTCAGGTGGGCTGCACTCGAGTCTTCCAATTTTCCTTGAACATTCTACGCCGAATTGGACAACCGGAGCAGCGTTCATTATTTAACGAAAAATTTTTATTCGACGCCTCGACGTCTTTTGCTTAAGGGGGGGGGCGGGGGGGGACATCAATAAGATACTTTAAGTCGAACAAAACGACCTACAAGTAAAAATGAAGAATACAGACATGTATGGAGGAAGTATCCCGTGGTCGTAGAAACCATAAGGGACGGAACAGCGGTGCACTTCGATGTCTGGAGTCAAGATCCCAAGATCGAGATACTGTTTGGACACGAACACATTAAAGATACGGACCAACCCGAGGCTTTGCGGAGTCGGGCGAGTCCGTGTGGCGAAAAACACATTTGACGGCTTGTACCCTCAAGGGTATCGCTTTCCATGCCACTTGAGAGTGTACGTCGAGTACCCCGCTATATTCCTTTCAACAGGTATACGGTATCAAACGTCAGGGTTGGACGAGGCTCTATTCCAAAGAATGTGCACGAAGCGGGCCACTAGTAAAATTCACTTACACTTTGTTAGAATACTTTGTCAACTACGTTCGACAGTCATCGCGGGGAATTATTTGAATTCGCAAACGGATCATCCAACTCTTCATTGATAACTATGGACGTGCACCTGTCGAACTCGATTAAACTCAATGGCTCATACATGCCCCGTTAACGGTCACTCGAAGCGAACGCTTGTCGTCCGTACTGATAGTTAATCGTGGTTGTTGAGTCGAGATAAATTGAACGTATATACAAACCTCTGCGATTATTCGCCTGTCCTAAGAGCGTGACTTGTTTGCTGTCGCTCTTATTTACATCGACGTACACACCCTCGACGGGGAAGTCCCTGCCCGGTGGCGTCGAGCCGGGCATGTATCTGAAGAATTCGGCACCGTCCTTGTACCACTTCACCGAATAGAGATCCTTGTCATCCAGGTCATACTCGCACCTCAGAGTCACTTTGTCCCACCTAGGGTCCGCTATACTCGGCACCTCGAGCCTCACTATTTTAATGGACGCCCCTGAAACAGACAAAAGTTCCACGCAACTGTCAGGGAATTCGGATTGAACATAAACTTTGGATTGGTAGTATAGGAGTCTGTATGAAACATAAGGAACGAAGTTTCGAACCCACGATCCTCGGATCCACAGTTGACTCCTTGTTGTTGGATATGGAAGGCGCGGAAATTACAGTAGCGTAAACTACAGTAAACTACAGTGCCTTTGGTGGCAAATAGCGTAACCATTGCAATGCGATCCTCAGCCCCCGCGTTCTCTTATGAACCACAGTTCATTTGTACGCTGTGAGAAATATTTTTTCCGCGTCATTTGTCCCTCCGTTAAATGCAAGTAGCTTTTAATATATGCGCTAATTAGGGGTAATTAGCAGCGACGAATCATAACACGGGCGTTCGTGCGTCAACATTTTTCACGGCGTTCATTCGTTATTAACGAACGTCGTTTCGCAATTATCGACGCGTTGACAAAGCGTTCAGTGACGGAATCTGTGCATGTGAACAACCGCGCAAACAAACTACGAAAAAAAGTTTACACGGAAAGCGGCACGCTACGGGAACGACCGAACGAACTTTATTTGCCGCGAGCCGAGGAAAAATAGTAATTATTGAGGGAAAAAAAAGAGAGCTTGACCCGTGGCAAATTCCCGCGGAACGCCTCTCCAATCGAGTATTTAACCAGGTCGCACTAATTTATTTATCGCCGTTCCGGCGAACAGTCGTCGCAAATACCGAGGTAATTAAAAATATCCGATCAACCAGACGCTCGTGTAATTATCGCCGGGGGAAAAGCATTCGAACGGTTCACCACCAACGGCGAATGAAAATGGCTGAGCAAAATTTCCTCGTCGTCTGCGAAAAATTCACTGTTAATATCTCGCATGGTGGTTCTCTTAAACACCACAAATGTAAGCAGCGGGCTGAATTCGGTTACCTGAATACGAGTTGGGAATTGTCACTTGAAAGCGTGGACTACTGCAGTTGGGTCAGAAATTCGAACGCGACTTAAGGCCAAGTAATGCACCGAATGGTAGAAGCTCGAATCAGGGCAAAAGTTCCAGCCGTACGGCTGCGGAGTTTTATTAAAACGGATTCGTAACGTTTCGCGCGATTTTTCGGTAGAAATGACAGGGACGTTTGGCAATACGATCCAAGAATGGCCGATCGCTTCGTCGCGCTTCGTATTCTCGGAAATTGTTCCGGGACGTTGCGTGCCAAAGCGTGAGCCAGCTACGTGCTCTTTGAAACAATAACCGGTGGTACCGAATTGTGCTCGAAAAACCGTGGAACGCCAAAGGACCAGCTACTCTGTATTCCGTCGGTGAAGCGTGCGGTCGTAAACGATTTCCAGATCGCGCGAATTTGTCATACACTTGGCACGCAAACTCGCGTTATCGCGGAGAGCCGCTCGCTAACCGAAGCGCGGAACATGCGAATGGTCGCGATAAAACCACGTCAGCGGTAGCCGAAACAAATGCATTTACCCTTGTCGCGGGTGTGGCCGAAGGGGAGGAGGGCTGTTATCGCGACGAGACTGCTGCGTGAAAGGCGTCGAAAGTCAACGTGCAGGCATTAAACCGCGAGCGAAACCGAATGGTGGATGCTGCTCCGGCTGATGGGAATGATACAACTTCAGCATGCGCTGACCTTGCTGACATAGACATACCAGACGACCTTTAGGATAGTCCCCATAGATAGTCTCATCCCCCACCATATAGCAAATGCAACCATCCCATAATCTTTAATCAATCTAACAAAAATGTTTTCTTTATGTTTCAGATGCTGCGAAATCTATCCGAAAATCCTCCTCGCATTTCATTCAAATGAGTGGCAAACGCTTCTAAAAGCGGATACCCGAGAAGTATTGTTTTCCTGGAAGTATGATGCCCGAAGCTCGGAGTTACTGGTCGCTTATTGACGTGTTCCACTTATAGCGACAGCTCCGTCTGACATTAATCCAAGAAGCACCTTAACGTCTTTTCTCAACGTAAAATCACAAACCAGAATCGACATCTTGTCAAGGGAGTCTTGCTGGACTTCCGACTGAAGTATTTTGATCTACGTCACAGTTTAAAACTGAAGCGCATAAGTTAAGCAATCAGCTACCATGATTAAGTAAATCTGATTAGACTCGGATTACATCTGTAACACCGTCAGAGCCACCAAGCAAATATACCCGACATCCGCGGAAGACCTATCCAGTGCAAGAAGATGACCACATCGTAAACAACTTGTGAGAAAATCGACATAAAGCATACTACATGCGTAAGTACAGGAATTCATTTTGTGTGAGTGTGTGTGTGCGCGTGGTGTGCGCAGATAGATATGGATGTGTCTGAGCTATTTCGCGGAGCCGACAATCGACGAGCGTGTTTACATTCTTTTGGCTAACATAAGCTATCGATTTGAAAGAATCGAAAGCCAACAGCGGTGTGGAGCGAGAAAGCGGCGAAAATTGCGTGGCGTCGTTTCTGAAGCCAGTAGTTGATAGCGACATTAAGCTGAAGCTTTTCCTACATACTTGAACAAAAGAAGAAAGAAAGAACTCACGGAACAGAAAGCAAGAACACGGACCCAACGGTACCCAGGAATCCCAGGATACACCGACCAAATACTCCCATGCGTGCTGCCCACCTTTGTCGCGCGAATGACTGCAGGTGGTTCAACAGTGGTTTGACTGTCGCCTTCGGGGAACAGTAACGAACCATTTTAAATAATTCGTTGTCCCTTTAGCGCTTTATGTTGGAGTAAGCAGCAATTAACTGCAGCAGTACAGATCCCTTTCGCTACCCCATTTGTCAGCGTGAATCGCATGGATGGTTCTGTTTAGGGCCGAGCTTCGAGTGTCGTATCTCTTTGCCAAGACCTCCTCCCTCACCCCTGCCCCCTACGAGAACAAAGAATAAAATACTCGTGGCCAATTCCTTTGTTTCCGTTCCATTCGTACGCCACCAATGGGGTCTGTTGAGACGTTATTGCATTATGCAAGGTGAATCACGGCTTCGTTGCGAGGCGACAGAACGCAGCGTTTCGAGGCTTGCAGATCCGGGACGCAGCTGAAATTTTGATATGCCTCGCGTGTTTGACGCTTTATGTACGACGAAATAGGTTGGATTTACCCAGGATATTCAGAAGATATTATACTACAAATTGAGTGGATGACTGTCAATGAGATGCATTGACTTATGTCACAAGTATGTGGTGGGAAAAATAAAAGTGATACTGGGTGATCCCGTCCTACTGTGTCTGTTATTGCTAGTGCAGCAGACTCAATAAAGCCTCCGATCATTCAGTGGTTTACCTCATGGATATAGTGTTGTGAGTTTCGTGTATAGTGAGTGAAAAGTGCCAGTGTAATTGAGTGATCATGTTCTGTTGGGTCTGTTCGTGCTCGTGCAGCAGCCTCAATAGAGCCTCTGATCATTCAGCGGTTTACCTCATGGATAT